ATTAATTTTTTTTTTTTTTTTTTTTTATTAAGAGAGATATCCCATCTCCTAGAACTGGAAGGGACCTTGAAAGGTCATCGAGTCCAGCCCCCTGCCTTCACTAGCAGGACCAAGTACTGATTTTGCCCCGATCCCTAAGTGGCCCCCTCAAGGATTGAACTCACAACCCTGGGTTTAGCAGGCCAATGCTCCACTTGATTTCTCTAAATTTGTATTTTACAGTCTAATTTTCATCCTATTAAGTGCATAGTTGAGTATAGTAAGTTTTAATTTTTTTGTTCAATTTGCTTACTAAAGCCACTTTTAATACTTACAAGTGGCAACTTTCTTGCTTGTCTTGGCAAGAGACCAAGTCGTGACAGGACAGATTAGGCTTCATGCCTCTCCAAATAAGGAGATGCTTAGATTTGAGGCATAGGTGCAGGACAGGGGAAGAGAAACTTGCATTGCCCCTGCACGTGCTTTACCTTTCCATTCTTCAGATAAATGGATGTTAGTCCCCAGGGCCATCAGAGTGCCTTTGGGCACTAAATTTATGCCAAAGAAAAGTCTAACTGAATTCCCATGATTGTCAGTTTTTCTGCTTCCACTGTTTGTAGTTGAAAATTTATTCTACAGATTATATTTTTAAAGGAGTTTTATGGAAATTGAAGTCATTTTAGAGAATAGCTCCTTATTTATTTATGGGAAACACTAGTAAGATTTTTTTTACTATTAGGTGAGTGACTCCTCTACTGAATAAATGAATTATGCGTACCTGTAGTGGTGTGCCTTAGGAAAAAGATAAAAGGTCTGTCTGCTTTGAAAATAGGAGTTCGAGATCTTTTTAATAGCACCATAGCTGCAATGCAAGAGAGAGAAAACATTCAGGTGTCAGTTTCAGTTTTGCCTTCGCTTCGACAGAGCACCCCCCTAAAACACTCAGATTTTTACTACCCTAACCACCAAATTATTCATGTGCCCTTACTGTGATAAAAATAAATGTAATGTTTGTTTAACCCAGCAGAAAAAAATCTCCCCAAGTAAATTTGCAAGGATGAATTACATAGGTAACGCAGTGCTGTCTGATCACTGAGTAATTACGCCTGCTTGCCTTTGAGTTTTAAGACTCACCACTGATATTTTTTTTCATTGATAGTACTAATGCCTGGTCAAGACACGACTGTACCACTTGCCCTGTTCATAACCATCTATGCATAGAGACGGAGTTTACAGTAAGTTGACAAATGACACAAATTATCCCCCTTTTGCAGATGGGAAAAACAGGCACAGAGAGATGAAGTGATCAGCCTGAGATCACACCGAAAGCTTATGGCAGACTCCTGAATTGAACCCTAATCTCCTGAATCCCAGTGCAGTGTCTGAACTATAAGACTGCTTCCTCTCTGCAGTTATTTTTTTAGTATCTATTTAACTTACATTTTTAAAGTTATAAAAATAAAAACCCTGTTTAAATATTGCTAAGGCTGTCAATTGCAGTTAACGTGTGATTAACTCAAAAAAATTAATTGTGATTAATCACACTGTTAAACAATAGAATGCCAATTGAAATTTATTAAATATTTTGGATGTTTTTCTACACTTTCAAATATATTGATTTCTATTACAACACAGAATACAGTATACAGTACTCACTTTATAGTATTTTTATTACAAATATTTTCCCTGTAAAAATGAAATAGTATTTTTCAATTCACCTCATACAAGTACTATAGTGCAATATCTGTATCATGAAAGTGTAACTTTGTTACATAACTGCACTCAAAAACAAAACAATGTAAAACTTTAGAGCCTACAACTCCACTCAGGTCCTACTTCTTGTTCAACCAATTGCTAAGAAAAACAAGTTTGTTTACATTTATGGGAGATGCTGCTGCCTGCTTCTATTTACGTCACCTGAAAGTGAGAGCAGGTGTCTGCATGGCACTTTGGTAGTGGGCATTGCAAGGTATTTACGTTCCAGATATGCTAAATATTCATATGCCCCTTCATGCTTCAGCCACCATTCCGATGCTTGTTTAAAAAAAATAATGCATTAATTAAATTTGTGACTGAACTTGGGGGAGAATTGTATATCTCCTGTTCTGTTTTACCCACGTTCTGACATATATTTCATGTTCTAGCAGTCTCGGATAATGACCCAGAACATGTTTATTTTAATAACACTTTCACTGCAGATTTGACAAAAACGCAAAGAAGGTACTAATGTGAGATTTCTAAAAATAGCTATAGCACTCGACCCAAGGTTTAAGAATCTGAAGTGCCGTCCAGAATCTGAAAGGGACGAGATGTGGGGAATGCTTTCAGAAGTCTTAAAAGAGCAACATTCAGATGTGGAAACTACAGAACCCAAAATACCAAAAAAGAAAAATCAACCTTCTGCTGGTGGCATCTGACTGAGATGATGAAAACGAACAGGCGTTGGTCCGCTCTGCTTTGGATCATTATTGAGCAGAACCCATCATCATCATGGACGCATGTCCTCTGGAATGGTGTTGAAGCGACATATGAATTTTTAGCTCATCTAGCATGTAAATATCTTGCAACTCTGGCTATAATAGTGCCATGCGAACGCTTGTTCTCACTTTCAAGTGACATTGTAAACAAGAAGCAGGCAGCATTAGCTCCTGCAAATTGTAACCAACTTTGTTTGAGTGATTGGCTGACCAAGAAGTAGGACTGAGTGGACTTGTAGGCTCTAAAGCAGGGGTGGGCAAACAATGGCCTGGGGGCTGTATCTGGCCCTTCAGACATTTTAATCTGGCCTTCGAGCTCCTGCTGGCGAGCAGGGTTGGGGGCTTGCCTGCTCCACACATGCCATGACTCTGCATGGCTCCCGGAAGCAGGGGCATGTCCCTCCACTGGCTGCCCCTGCCCCAAGCACTGCTCCACAACTCCCATTGGCTGGGAACTACAGCCAATGGGAGCTGCAGGGGTGGCACATGTGGATGGGGCAGCGTGCAGAGCTGCCTGGCTGAGCCTCTGTTTAGGAGCCGGAGGGGGGACATGCCGCTGCTTCCTGGAGCTGCTTGAGGTAAACGCCACCCAGAGCCTGCACCTCTGAACCCCTTCTTCCCCCCAATCCCATGCTCCAGCTCTGATCCCCCTCCCGCCCTCCTAACCCCTTGGTCCCAGCTCGGAGCATCCTCCTGCACCCCCCAACTCCTCAGCCCCAGCCCCACCCCAGAGCCTGCACTCCCAGCTGGAGCCTGCACCCCCCCCATCTCAACCCCCCTGTCCCACCCCAGAGCCCCCTTCTGCACCCTGAACTCCTCATTTCTGGCCCCACCGCAGAGCCTGCATCCCCAGCCAGAGTTCTCTTCCCCTCCCGCACCGCAACCCCCAATTTTGTGAGCATTCATGGTTCGCCATACAGCTTCCATACCCAGATGTGACCCTCGGGCCAAAAAGTCTGCCCACCCCTGCTCTAAAGTTTTATATTGTTTTATTTTTGAATGCAGTTTTTTTTTTTACATAATTCTACATTCGTTCGTTCAACTTTCATGATAAAGAGATTGGACTACAGTAATGGAAGAGTTGAAAAATACTATTTCTTTTTTTTACAGTGCAAATATTTGTAATAAAAATATAAAGTGAGCACTGTACACTTTGTATTACGTGTCGTAATTTAAATATATTTGAAAATATAGAAAACATCCACAAATATTTAAATAAATGGTATTCTATTATTGTTTAACAGCCTGATTAATTGCGATCAATTTTTTTAATCGCTTGACAGCCCTAATAATTGCCCAAATGCATTTCTAGGTAGCTAGACAGTGTAACTAATACACTGACTAAAAATTAACACATTTGTAGGCTTTTTAGGATAAAACCATTTGCCAAAAATAATTTTAATCCAAGATATATATTAAAAATAGTTTACAAATCTAGTTTGATTAGAATGATTTCCTTCTTTCTCCCACAATCTAATTCTTTCCAATTTTTTCTTTGCAATAAAATGTATGACTAGATGTTCCACGGTTTTAAGTAACCAGTTCTTGTACAATTGTATATAGCTATAAACATGTTAAAACCAGCCGTGACTGCTCTAGCAATGGAGTACAGGAGGAAGAGAAGAGAAGAGAACACCTTGGTGGCTAAAGAGAAAGTTAACCAGGTAGAAGACAGTGTGATAGTGTTTTTGCCATTGTTCTTTTCTATCAAGCTGACCACATTTGGGACAGTAGAGAGAGTAGAGGAAAGCAGATGGCACCAGGGCCGGCTCCAGGCACCAGCTTAACAAGCAGGTGCTTGGGGCGGCCAAGGGAGAGGGGCGGCACCTGCGGCAATTTGGGGATGGCAAGTCCCTCACTCCCTCTAGGAGCGAAGGACCTGCCACTGAACTGCCGCCGCCAATTGCGGCTTTTTTTTTTTTTTGCGCTTGGGGCGGCAGAAATGCTGGAGCCGGCCCTGGATGGCACTACCCTGAATATGTGCAGTGCTAAATTTACAAATATTCTGGTACTGGCCCGTTTGCTCTCTGCCTCCACATTTGAAAAATCAAATGCACAACTACAACATGGGGAATAATTGGGTTGGTGATAGTACTGGTGAAAAAGATCTGAGGGTTATAATTCATGACAAATTGGATGAGAGTCAGCCATGTGATGCAGCTGCAGAAAAGACTAATATTCTGGTGCGTATTAACTAGAGTGTTGTAAGTAAGACACGAGAAGTAATTGGCACTGGTGAGGCCTCAGCTGGAGTACTGCGTCCCATTCTACACACCACATGAGGATATATGTGGACAAATGGCAGAGTGTAGAGGAGAGCAGCAAAAATGATGAAAGGTTTAGAAAATGTGACTTATGAAGAAAAGTTTAGAGAGGAGGTGGGGAGGGCACATGTAGTCTTGAGAAAAGAAGACAGGGCGAACCTGATAAATCTTCAAGTATGTTAAGGGCTGTTAAGAGAACAATGAACAGTTGTTATCCATATTCACTGAAGGTAGGATAAAAAGTAATGGACTTAATCAGCAGTCAAGGAGATTTAGGTTAGATATTAGGAAATACTTTCTAACTTTAAGGGCAGTTAAACTCTGGAATACGCTTCCAAAGGAGGTTATGGATTCACCATCATTGGAGGTTTTAAAAACCAGGCTGGACAAATGCCTGTCAAGGGATGGTGTAAGTATAATTGATTGTGCCACAGTGCAGGGGGGTGAATTTGATGACTTCTTGAGGTCCCTCCAGCCCTATATTTCTATGATTCTATGACAGATTACCTTCCTACTCTTCCAGCCCTTCCTGAACACCACCTCTATTTCTGAAAAGCAGTTCTTTAGTGGGCCTGCTTCTGCTGAAATTAATGGAACTTCTGTCATTGACTTCAGTGGGACTAGGACCGGGTGATATATCTGCTGATTGCAGTTATATTTAGTCTTTGATATGTAAACATTACAGGATGACTTCTATCTTCTATAGGGGATTTTATTGGAAACATTCCAGGTATGTTAGTTTACCAATAAAGTTGAGAATTTAAGTCAAGGAACTCAATCTTTGTCTCCACAGCAAAGTTAATTATATAGTGTGCATATGAACACTCGCATCAAAATAATGCTACCACAGACATATTGAGCCAGACCCGTACGCGTGGTTGAGCAATGCTTAGCGCTAGATACAGGGGCCTGGTCTACACTGGAAATCTATCTAAGATATGCAACTTCAGCTACGAGAATAGCATAGCTGAAGTAGATGTATCTTAGATGGACTTAGAATCACTTACTTCGCGTCCTTAACTTTAACATTGTTGTAGTGCTTTCCTCAAAACACTGGCTCTATAAGCCAAGCGTGAAAGGTCAGTTGCCAGGGGCATCATCTCAGAAAAATTGGGAGAGAGTGACAATGTTGTATCAGCACATAGAACATTATACATGATTATATTATATCCTGCAAAGTTGTGGGGAAGGAGGGGAATAGAAGACATAATGGAGGGGGGAGGGATAGCTCAGTGGTTTGAGCATTGGCCTGCTAAACCCAGGGTTGTGAGTTCAATCCTTGAGGGGGCCATTTAGGGAGCTGGGGCAAAAATCTGCCTGGGGATTGGTCCTGCTTTGAGCAGGGGGTTGGACTAGATGACCCCCTGAGGTCCCTTCCAACCCTGACATTCTATGATTCTATATTGACCTATTAAAAATAGGGGTGGAGGAGGCAGTAAGGATGCTCCTTGCCCCACAGCAAATGACACCTGTGTCAATTGCCTTTCAGTAAAGTTACTTAAGCATAATAGAAGGTTTGAATTTAAAAAAAGCTGTTTTTGGGTGCTGGTAGTTCAACGCTTGCTAATCTGAAAAATAGGTGGTTGGGTTTTTCTCGGACTATCCCATGTTCTGAGACTAAACTTGAAAAGGAAAATGTTTTAAGAAAGTTATGAGCAACTGAAAATAGGAGGTAGAATGGAAATGGTTTCTTAAACATTTATTTTCTTCATCAAAGCATAGATGAAGTTTAACTTTGGAGTTAATGGGCTTCAATAAAGCATATTCTTGTGTGCCTGGCTGAATAGGGATGGATTTAAGCACATGTAAATTCCTTGTTAAATCAAGGCCTTTAATTATAATATTTGTTGCTGCTATGATATGGCTCAGATGCAAAATACTACTGAAGTTTGTATGTCTGATTTACCTGTAGCTCCTGATGCTTTCGTACCTTCTTCTGTCACTTCAATCTTTGCTTTATGAATAGCTTCTGAAATGTAAAGACCGCCTTGCTCTAACAAACCAACCAAAAGTAAGTATTAATAGTTATTTTTTTGTCATTGTAAAATCAACACAACCCAGTTGAAAAAAAATTGAGCCACTTCTATCTTAGCTTTTCTCTTATACTGCTTCTCATTCTCATAGTATCAGAACTTCTAAAATCCTGTAGATACCAGACATTTAATCCAGGATAGGTAGGACAGTTTTTGTTTGAATTATTAAATTCAGAGATTAATTTAGACCAGTTAGTTAATTCCTCTTGCCTAGCTCTGATAGGATGTATTGGATATTAAAGAGAACAGATAATGCATTTTATCTTAACCAAAAATGTCTGTAAATAGAAAGAATTTTCAAAGACAATTTTGGAATAATGATCAGTAATGATCAAAATAAACACATCTCCACTGCTGTCAAAACCCTTTAACCTGTGTAGTTCATTGGTAACTTCTTAGGACATTCAGAATTTACAGAATGACTGCAGTTAGAATTCTTAATACACTTTTACCAGCACTGTTAACAATGTGATCAGTTTGTGGAGTTACTAATTGCAGGTATTGTTTCTAACGCTGCTAGACAAACAGCAGCACACATCAGAATATTTCCAACAAATGGCACTTATTTCTACCAAAAACAAATGCTGGTTGTAAACACTGCAATCTCTCCTTTAACCTTTTCTCTCATTTAATTTTAATTATTGTAAACTATTTACAAAATGGCATTCACTAAAAAAAAAAGTTCAATTACTTTGTAAAATTAGTCCAGTTTTTATGGACTGGTTAGTTTTCCAGGTACTTTGCTGCAATAATGTAAAGTAATAACCTGCTGACTACAATCTACATAGTAGGTACAACCTTTCCTTTTGTCACAGATGTCTTCCGCCGATCTCTTCCCTCCATGATGTTAAAATACATTTTCTTCAAAAAGATGGTGGAGAGAAAAACTTGCCTGCATGGTGAGATTTGATTTACTCTGCTTGTCTGTTTACAGTGTAAATGTGTTGTTGGGAGGTGGTCTGGAGGAATGAGCATTAGCATGGGCTTGGGCATTGGAAGAGTGTGACTTCTAATCCTGACTCTGATACGGTGTAGCATTGGGCAAGTCACTTTGTGGGCCTGTGCCTCTGTCTCCCCATCTGTACAATGGGGATAGTATGAATTATCTTACAAAGGGGGTTTAGGAATTAATCAATTAATAATATTTTGCTATATAAATACTAAGTAAAGTAACCACTTGTCGTTTGGGAGGCAGTGGGATAGTGGTTAGCAAGAACAGGACACAGAAGCATAACATCTGGGTTCTGTTCCCCTGCCTATCACTGGCTTGCTGTGTGACCTTAGACAAGTCACTTGACTTTCTTCATGCCCCCATTTTCCCCATATGTGAAACAGCAATAATAATGTTTTCCCAGCTTTTTGAGACATGGTTTGAAGTTCTTCTATATAACACTACTACCAATATAAATTATCTACAGTAGAACCTCAGAGTTAACAATCACTTCGGGGAAAGGAGGTTGTTCATCACTCTGATATGATGGTAAAGAAACATTATGGTGGTTCTTCCAAAAGTTTACAGCTGAACATTGACTTAATACAGCTTTGAAACTTTACTATGCAGAAGAAAAATGCTGCTTTCCCTTTATTTTTGTAGTAGTTTACGTTTAACACAGTACTGTACTGTACATGCTTTTTTAATTATTATTATTATTATTTTGTCTTTGCTGCTGCCTGATTTGTGTACTTCTGGTTCCAAATAAGGTGTGTGGTTGACTGCTCAGTTTGTAACTCTGGTGTTCAGAACTCTGAAGTTCTACTGTATTTATTATGGTTTGAAACATATTCTTCATACTCAGACAAGTTATTGGCTCAGTGCCAGAGTAATGAAATGAATTTATATGGCCTGTGATATACAGAAGATTAGACTAGATAATCTAATGGTCCCTTCTGGGTTTACAATCTGTGAATGTTATTAAAGGTGAATTGATCCATATAGTGTTTTTCAGCAGCGTCACCAGTATTACAAACGCTTAACAGCTGATAAAGCCTGTATCTCCAGAGACAACTCACTGATTGGACAGTTCTAAACATTTGTGGTTGTCAAAACCTGAAAGTGCAATAGCTATAAAAAGATTAAATAACTATATAACTTAAATATAGGTCAAGTACCACATGACCATAGGGTTCCACATAAAATTCTAGGTCTGGTTAGGGCTGTGCTGCAATTAAGTGTTGTGGTATCATCTACATCAAGCTATTTTACCATGTATAAATGAGCACATCAAAATTGATTTAAAACCAAATAAAGCCAAAAAATGTCACAGCTCTACAACAATTAAGAGAACATCTGCAAGGAAATGTCATTGTCATGATTGCTAAAGAATTTTTTTTCCACTTTAGTAGCAGCCATGAACAAGTACGGAGGAGAACCTAGTCTAAAAGTTATCTGCCTACTTTATGGAGAACATCCGAAGGCTAGTAAGAATAGGAGACTGATTTCTGTCCCCCTGTCTGCCAATGGTTTGCTGTGTGACCTTGAACAAGTCACTTAACCTTTCTTGTATCATTCATGCCAAGAAACTTTTGACACTAGAATTAGTTGAAAGATGCAACCAACCCACTATTGTCTGGTCATCTATTTTAAGAATTTTGTTTTAAAAAGTTATTGGGCTAAATCCTGATCTGTTATGT